TTTTATTGGTTTAATCATCATTGTAATTAATGTTGTTGTTGACCCTTTCCCTTTTGTTCAATCAAGGTAAGTGAACAGTCCCCTCTTGTTAAAAATAAATGGTGAACGGTTCGGATTTCATAATTATTAAATGTCTTTTATTAAGTTTTTATTAATTTAATCATTTATTTTATAATATAATAAAATAATAATTTAATTTGACATATCCGATGGACAATAAAACTTTAAAAGATGTCAAAATGCCACATAGGCTATCAAATTTAAATTTTATGTTCAAAATTTGACATCTCATTTGGAGATGCTCTCACCTCGTAGATTAAAACATTTTAAAGTATAGTTTTATCAAAAAGAAGAAACAAGATAACCAATTAAAAAATTTAGTGAAAGCTCATAAGAAATTAATAAGAAAGAAAGATGTTAGTAACCTTTATATTTGGATTTTTTTATAACTTTTTTTACATGACACGTAATATTTTTAAACAAAAAACAAGACTTTTCTTTGAAATTATAGTTTCTAGTTTTCATCTTTAATATCTAGCCAAAAGCTTTAAAGGTATTTTTTGTGCAAAAACATGACATTTGGAGAAGTAAAAAGATCCAAATACAAAGGTTGCTTGCACTTCTCCTTAATTAAACCACAACACAATTTTCTTTCTCTGCATGTGGTTCAATATCTTAGTAGCTAGAGTGTTAGGTTTTTACTCATCATGCATCTCGGATTCGAAACTTATTATCCCCAAACTAATGTAATAGTTCCAAACTCTTTCTACTCTTAATAATAAATTCTAAAAATTGAATTAAAATAGTGGTCATGAATCTCGGGTTTAAAAGCCCTAACTAACCTTGTGTTGGATTTCGAAAAGCCCAATTAAAAATAGCCTTGTTTACTACAAGTAGGCGATACATACTGCACAAATTTAGGTCATGTCTGATGCCTAGAATTAACACTAGGTTGCATATCGTAACATCTCACATCTTTTTAACTTTCAAACTCCACCCTTTGTTTTGTTTTGATCTTTCCGCCGCCACAATAAGTCTAGAAGGTTTAACCATATGACTGACTAGCTACAAAGGATGTCATGCCATGGCCGAAGGCATAAGGATGCCATGCCATGCCATGCCATGGCCGAAATCATCGTGATTGAAAGCAACGTTGCACGCCTTGTTCACCGGTCATTAGGTCAAGTCAGGCCATGGGTTGGAACAGATATATAAATATGTCTGCCTTCTCAAGGAAAATATATATGCAAGAATTAATGTAACAGTAAACTCACTCCTCCGTACCGTTCCAAGCACAGACTCTTATCATTTCGAAACTATCGGGTCTTTGTTTGTGCTTGACAACACATATACACACTACCTGCAAAAACACCACAAACATCTTCAGCCTTCAGGCAAATCTTGCAGAAGGTTGTTTCTGTTTTTCCATCTCTGCTCATCTTTCTCCTCAGTAACATCCATGGCTCCTCCAACAAAATTCTTGGCAGGCAGCTAGCAATTAAATGACTAGCCAAAGTTGGACAATTCGTAGTAGCAAGACGTAGGTATATAGTATTCAAACATATATAGTGATGAATTTAAATTCTTACCTCTATTAATTAACAAATGAGGCAGAAGTTATCTCGTAGTAAATAAACAAGGATACAAGCAACAACCATCTTCATCTGCTGATCATCTTCATCTGTACGTAAACTTACTTATTATGTATTTAATTAGAGCTGAGTTTTTCTTGAGCATGAGCTAACTCAAGCACGCCTTCCGACGAACAAACGACTATTTCACTTTGATCGTTTAAAAAGAAACGTTTGAAACAATTAATAACTTCTTCAAGACCAACGCATTAGTGCATACTGTTGGAAAATATTAGTATTTTGGTTTATTTGAATGTTTGGTTTTATGGGCTAAGCTCGTTAGAATTAGGTTTTGTTAAAGATTAGGGTTAGTTTATTATAAATGGGGTGCTTTGTTATTCATTAGAGAACAAGTTAGTCACAATGTAGTCTCTTAGGGTTTTGTAGCCGTTTCGGCATTCTCAGTTTGTTTAACAATATTCTTATTATTTGTTAGTCTTGTTCGTTGCACACTCTGATATTCAACTTGGTATCAGAGCAGGGATTTCTTCTTCGGGATTTAATCTCTGCTTCGGTTGGTATCTATTTGCTTGTTTTCCGTTGTCCATTCTTCATTATGTTTTTTTGTTTTTTAAGGAAAGAAAAAATTCGTTTTATTTGTTTTAGTGCCTTGCACTGCACCTTTCGGAACACTGCATTTAGCATCGGTCACATAATCGAATTGTATTATTCAGATTTGATTTTTCGTTGGTTTTTTGTTTGCATTGTATTGCAAGGATGCATTGCATTGTATCGCTTTTTTTGCTCGGCTTTGATTCAAGCTTGAGTCGGCAGTTTTTGCATTGGTCGTTAGTGTATGCTACATTGAGGCAAAATAAAGAATTTGGTTGCTGATTTGTTCAGTTTTGATTTAGGTTGCTCGCATCGTTTTTGAATTGTTTTTTTTCATTTGTTTCAGAAGATTATGATTTGGCAAGGATTGAAGCACGATCTTAAACGCTTGCAAGGATTGTTCGTTCAAGCAATCATTTTAATTTGTTGTGATTCATTTGTTTTTTGACAGAAAAGCAATCGTTGCATTCAATAGGGTATATCTGGCATTGCATTTGAACATTCGTTTGGCATATTGGCATGCGTTTTGAAGAAAAATGTTTATTTCGGCATTGGCATTTTGGGCATTGCATCGGCAGATAAAAGTCCATTTGTATTGTTGCATCAGCATCCATGCAATGGCATCTTCCTCATTTTTGGGTTTTTCAGATCGGCATTGCCAAGCACGTAGAATATTAGCATCCATTCGGCATTTCATCAGTATGCATGTAATCAAAACATCCGTTTTGTATCGTTCATGAATTCGGATTTATTTGGTTTGTATTGCTTTTGTTTTCCATCGTTTTTGTTCATTGGCGTATTTTTGCATTGTTTAATAGAACATCATTGTTCATAATCGGCTTATCACTCGCATTTGTATGTTTTGGCATCCATGCATACAAGTCATGCTACAAAGGAATTGGCAAAAAGGATTTTTGGCATTCAAAAGATTTGTTAATCGGCATCTCATTATTTAAGGGTTTAGCATCGCGGTATGCATCGGCATCGGCATTGGTATTATGCGTTCAGGCAATCGTATTTGCATGAAAGCATTCCGTACTTGTTAGTCATCTTCGGTTTACACGCGATTCGGCAAGAGTTTTTCTTTCATCCAACAGTATTGGCTTGTATCACGGTTTTTGCATCTTGCATCCTCGGGCATGGTCCCATTTCTGTATTGCATGCATTGTTGCAGTTGGATCGCTTTTTGCATCCTGGCGGCATTTGGACATTCATTGCATCAACAGGCATCGGAATTGATTGCATCGGCAAGTACTTTAACATTGGCAGCTCAAATCATTGACTTTTTGGCATTGCATCCGGTGAATTGTTGTTTGGGAATCATGTCGCTTGCACAACGGAGGCGTATTGGTTTGATCGCATTGGCTGAATTGGTTATCTATTGGATTATTTTGGTTTATTAATTTGTTATTTTGACGGTTTGTTTATTTTTGGGTTTTTTTATTTAGTTTGTTTTTATCATTAGAATTAGGTTTGTTTTTATAGGTTAGGTTAGTTTATTATAAATGAGGTGCTTTGTTATTCATTAGAGAACAAGTTAGCCATAATGTAGTCTCTTAGGGTTTTGTAGCCGTTTCGGCATTCTCAGTTTGTTTAACAATATTCTTATTATTTGTTAGTCTTGTTCGTTGCACACTCTGATATTCAACTCATACTATGTCTCATGATGTCCGTTAAAATCAATAACTTCAAGTACCTTTAGATGCGACAAGAAACAAAGGAGGCACAATATCTGCATTACGTATAATGTTTAAATTCTTATTTTTATGGTTTTTTCTTTTGGATAGTAATTTTTATGTGCCATTTCATCCGGCACACTTTTATTTTATCTCTTATTAAATATATAAAAAATAATCAAAAAGCATAAATAAGCAGATGCGTTCAAAAAGATAATGAGATGTGCAAAAATAAATCGTTTCCATTTTGTGCCGCCACCAGGGCCATATGGTAAGTTGCTTGTTGCAATAAGTATTGGGAGTTGGGAGACTTAACCTCCATATGACTAGCTACAAACAATGTCACACCGCACGCCATGGATGGCCGAAAGCAACCTGATAGCAAAGTTCTTCGCATGCAGTCGATCCCATTGTTTATATATATATTTTTTTCACTCACGTAGCTATATGCCTCCTCCCTCTTTGGGGCCACCACCTCAAATTTTCCACTAAATAATTATTAAAGATGTATATTTTAATTATGATCATACGCTATATTTTTGGTTTTTGACTTTAAGATCTTAATTTGAGTAGAATATCGGTAATTGAATACTAATTTGGGCACCTTCAATATAAATATGTGCCTATTATAGCATTCAGATACCAACACATAAATCTTATTCGATAAAAAAGATTACGATATTCCTTTCAATTAAACAAAGGCATTTTTTTCATTAAGTACTTAGGAATGCATTCGATTGAGATTTTAAGTAAATTAACTCAAAATTTATCAGGAGAGGATTTGTCAAATCCTAATATAAAATATAGAATCTCTCTAAATCCGTCAAATCATTCGTTAAAAATCGTTGTTCGATACACCCGGATTTATATCTTTTTTCTAAACCCTTTTGAATAAAATTTCCAATAGTGATATTTTTGAAAAGAAAAAAAAAATTAGAGTTGCAAAACTTGTAAAATCCAAAAGCGACAGGAACTTGAGGAAGAGGCCAAGCAAAGAAGGCAAGAGGGGGAGAGGTCGCGTTGGTTACAAGCAAAAAGAAAGAACCTTTTGGGATCCATTGAGGGTCAAATTGCAAACCGCGAATAATGCGCGCAAAGGTATTTATTTTTGGAGGGTGGAAATCAAATCCTCCCAAAAAGATACATGCTTTTCTTTTTTTTTTGCACTACATAACTGACGCTTTCATGAAGACAACATATATGAGGTTGTCCCTTAAGCACAACCCACGACAAGTAATCCGAGGTGGTTGTGGTGGTGGTCGTTGAGCCCGAGGATCACTCCCCCGCTACCTGTTATTCCGTTAACTTTTCCCTCCTCCTCCTTCTCCTTATCGTCCCCGAAAGCTAGGGCATCTTTTCGAGAGCCCGGTGATCATTCATTCAATCCTTTTGTTGGCCATTGTTTTTGGCCTTGGTTTCCGGCAAAAGGCAGGCAGGCAGGCAGGCAGGCAGGCAGTTGTTTGCCTCCTCTTGCTGCTGCGGCGGCGGTGAAATAGTTGTGTGTTTATTTATTGGTGAGAAAGTTGAGAGAATAATAATACGATGACGAAGACGAAGGGAAGGATATCGAGAATTGGAAGCTATGCAATTGCGTCTTCCAAACTAGACGGCCACCACCAACAGCCATGCATTACCTGCACCACTTTCAACATCCTCGCTCCCATTTACAAGCGCCTCAACCATGACGTACGCATCATAATCTTTTGAATCCTGTAAAACTTGTCTTGTTATTGTTTTTTAATCAATGTTTGTAAAAGGGTAATCTCAAGCTTTTAACTTTTGATGTTCAGGATCCTGATAGTCGAGAAAGCGATCACAGAGCGTATTGGCTGGCCAGGAACCAAAGGATACTGGATTGTTTGTTGGCTGAGAGATCTTCCATCATTTGTCTTCAGGTTTGCATTTCTACAACTTTTTGAAAGCATTAAGGATGGAAGTTGCTACACATTGTTTGATGGCATGATACAAATGTGGTGTTTATATCTCTCTGATTGGCACAGGAGTTCTGGGTCGGAAACGAAGAGCTTGTGAACATTTACGAGAAGAAACTTGGAGATGCTGGTTATATCAATCTCAAACTAGGACGAACCAACAACCGTGGCGATGGTAAGTCTTATTCATTTTCCTGTTTAGAATGCATAGCATCATCAATTCCCTTAATCTCGATTCGAGAAAAAGAATAAGAAAGGAAAAAAAACAGATGGTGAGATGGGGAGAGCTTAACAAAATAAGTTAATCTGGATTTTGGATCGAAAGAAAAAACTGTTTTGTTGGGATATATGATGGAAACTGCTCATCTTATTTTTATGTACAGGTTTGCTGACCGCGGTGCATAAGGACTACTTTAGAGTTGTAAACTATGAAGAGTTGCACTTCAATGATTATGGTGATCGTGTTGCTCAGTTGATACATGTGGAATTAGCTACTGTAAGACATATTCTGAAATCACAACAAGACATTAGGATCACGAACAAATCAAGTCAATATAAAATAGAGATCAACTAATTATATTAAACTTAGCTGTAGAATACGGAAAACATGGTTATGAAGATGAAGCCATTGATCCTTGCGAACAAAGTAGAAGTAGTCTTCTACTTCCAGTACCTCTTAATGAACTCTACTATCGAAATAGGCTTGTAGTTTTCGTAAGTTTCAGTTGGTATGGAAGCAAGGACTGCTCTTAGGTTATATAACTAGGGTTTCAACCAATTCCTCCCTATTATCGGAAAGGATATCAACCCAAATCATATCTAATCAATTAGAGTCCCATCATGACTCTTATTCCTTGTATTTACTTAATAAAGGTCCATAATCGATCGCATTTAATTAGGACTCGAATATGTTTATTTCCTTAAGGCACCTAGAGTCTTAGAGATTTCATTAACTTGATTGCCAAGTCAATTATTCCCTCATTTATTCTCGGCATAATTCATTGTCATTCACAAAATGGTTTTACAGCTACCTCAATTTTGCAGTTCCGAAACAACGACATTCGACAAGAAATTCTCATCGTGAACACCCACTTGTTATTTCCTCATGACTCGAGTTTGTGTATAGTTCGATTGCATCAGGTAACTTCATTCTCGATTTCATACTCTTCCTTTGTATGTACGCAGTGTAACATTTTCTTAGTGACAACATTTTGTCGGTTTCTCACTTTAGGTCTACAAAATCTTGCAACATTTAGAATCTTATCAGAAAGAGAACAAGCTTAATCCCATGCCGATTATTCTCTGCGGGTATTCCTAATGCCTTACATTTATAGATCTTTTGCTCCCTAATTTTCAAATCATAGCCATTTGTAATATTTTGTTCCAATCTCTTCTTTCTTCAGTGACTGGAACGGAAGCAAACGTGGACATGTTTACGAGTTTCTTCGGTCCCAGGGGTTTGTATCTTCTTATGATACTGCTCATCATTATACCGATGCAGATGCACACAAGGTCAGTATCTTCAACTTTACACATAATTTCGTTTTTGTTTGCCTGTAACTCATATTTCATATTTTCCATGCAGTGGGTTAGCCACAGAAACCATAGGGGAAACATATGCGGCGTTGATTTTATATGGCTTCTCAATCCTAATAGATATCGTAAGCTACTAAAAACTAGTTGGACTGAAGCAGTATTTGGAATGTTCAAGGTCAGCAATTCATATGCATTGCCTGTATACTTCTTTCTGTCACATTGCTGTTCGTTCTGTTTCTGATGGGATAAATTTTCACAATTTCAGTATCTACTACGAAGAGCTTCGCTGACAGCGGATGATGCCTTTGCTTTTCTGAAGACTGATAATCCTGTTGATTACATTACCTATTCAGGTTTCTGTGAAGCACTTCGACAGGTACGATATCAATTAAAACTGATATTTTCTCCTAATCTGTATACTCTTGTTCTGAATAGAACCTTTGCCAGCTAGTGAATATTCCAATTGGTTTCTTTCTATGTTATGCAGCTTAACATGACAGGTCATTGCCATGGACTTAGCCACGACGAGACAAAGGATTTGTGGGTTCAAGCAGACATAGATGGAAATGGTTTTCTTGATTACATAGAATTTCAGGTAAGTTATTTTCACCAACTATTGCTCATTGTAATTAGTTTTGTATACACCACGGAGATTGAATAGTAGTACAGGGAGTTTAAGCTTTTATGTAGGAAAATGATTTTGTTTTCCGGTTGTCAGTGGGCTTAGATTGTTCGCCTATGTGGATTTTCACCCCTGCAAATTTGGTTTAGAAAACTTGGCGGTTGAAACTGTCCTATTTTTCAGCACATTAGAAGTTTTATGACGTTTATGCTACTACTAATGGCATTGCAGCAGCGAATTTGGAATCCTACGGGGTCAGAGCAGAAAGATGAAAGCGGTAGTGACTGTGATAGTGATTCCAAGGGTATTCAGGAACAAACAATTGGTTTCAGTGTCAAAAACGCTGTTCTCTTCCCTCCTGAAGTGGAGAAAGGAACGTGGCCCGAAGACTACTCTCTTTCTGATCATGCACGACTCACTGTGGTTTTTTCACCAATAAGAATGCCTTGCTCTCAGATGATTCTCTGACAACCTCAAGCTCAGCAGTACTTGAATGAAAAGAACTTTTATCGGCGTTCCTCCTTTTTAATTGTGTCTGTGTTCGAAGCTCAATCTTTCGTATACAAACGGGCAAACATCAGTGAACTGGCCTTTGATCTGCAACTGAATAACAGAACTAGGATCCGGATTACACATTTGGCCTTTCCATTGTGCCCATTGATGTGGGAAAAAAAGAAGGAACCTAAGAATAACAAAGAAGAGAACAACTTTGCCCACCCCCTAAAGTAATCTAACTGCAATCAACGGGGGCGTTTGAGCATAACTCCCACTTTAGAAGGTGAGCAAAGTTGCACTTAACAAACAAAGAGTTGTATAGCTGCTGTGCATTTGTAAAGATCCTATAGAGTTGTATAGCTGTCTGTGCATATATGTAGGTTTGCAGCTATCCCCTATTTGTAATTTTGTAGCAATATTGGTGAGATGTACCAAATTAGAGGCCTTTTTGTACTTTGCAAATGCATTCAGCATCACTGTTAATAACACACCAATTGCAACTGATTTTGCTCTTCTGCAACATATTGCCATCTTACAATCTAACTTTTTCTAATTTTCTGAGAAAGGGATATTCTAATCTACTCTACTCTATACGAAGGGAGATTCAAAATCGGACGCAATATGGTGGACACACCGTCCTAATTAGCTAGACTAACCCACGTCAACATCATTGACAATTATAAAATAAAGGTAGATTAATTATGGCTAAAGTAATGTGAACTTCGTGTAGTTAACAGTTTGAAAATTTTATTTAGTTGAAAATAACAGGTTGAAATAAGAAATTCAGTAATGAGTCTAATGACAGAAATTCAACCAAATATTGAAAATAATAGCCTTGTTTTGGACTATGATTCAGAAACCCTTTACTTCTGATTAACAAAGCATACCGAAAGCTTTAAATGCATTGTAATTAGGGAAACAATTAACAGTTCCTGCCGAGCCTAATCTCAACAAGTTTCTCTTTTTGTTATTTTTCTATGAGGTATCAGGTATCAAGCTATAAAAAGCACAAAGTTTACAGAAAAAGTTGGAAGTGGAAGATGACCGCTCTATTTTTTGGTCAAATGATAAGGATGATACGTAGCAAATCGTAATTAAATATTAATTTCAATACCTTATTTTGGCTTTTTAGCATGGCGTACACACACACACATGCAGGTAAAAAAATAGTAAATATTGGAGATAGACAGTAAATCACTTGAGATTAGGGAGTAAATCACTTTTCCATGCAGATATATATGTATATATATATATGTATATATATATATATATATATATATATACATATATGATAAATCACTTTTTCATGCAGATTGTTTGGGTTAATATGTGAATATTGGACTGCAAATGTGAGAAAACTCAAAGATGCCAATTAGAAGAATACTTACCCAAAGCCCAGCACCAAGTCCAGAGACAAATTGGTGCCTCCCCATTAATGCATGGACCATCTTCCTATGATTTAAATGACAAGTGATGGGGACTAACTCACAATCAGCAAAAAAACACTTTTCAGTGGCAATACAAGTAAAAAGCTGATGACTCGCTACCGTTCAGATGCTTTCGGGCAAGAACAAAGTCACAGCAGTCAGGCTAATTGACCTATAAAAGAAGGAAGAGGCCCCAGAGACAAGGACACATAACCAATCAAACAAACAAGCATACAAACTCTGCTCTTAAGCTAGATTTGCATCCAAAAGTTGTAATCAGCCCAAATCTCAGATCTTCTTAGCGACCAGCTATCTTTCTCTCTAGTTTAAAGCTCAGTTATCTCCCTTAGTGACGTAGTATCGATTCCCTTGTGTAAACCTATTTACCATCCATCCTCTTTTTAGCATACAAACCCCTGTAATCACAAAGAGAAGTGACTGCAAGAAGTTCAACATTGACAGACAAGGCGAAATCTTGCCCAAAACTCTTTGTTTGTTTTATGAATTTGTAGATCTATTACGTAATGCATTCCCCAGTATGTATTCAAGTCTTGTCCACCTATTGTCCTACTTTAAGAGTCTCATTTGCATCTGGATCTGATTAGTTTAATGGATAGGCTATCATTAAAATCAATCAAGAACCAAGCAAACGGCTAAATGACTTAAAGGGAATTTGAACTCCCTTCATATGAACATACAAGACTGTAAACTGAAAGTCCTTGGTAACAAGGCAAGAAAAAGAACTTAATGTAGACTTAACTCATCCACGACAATTCTTTGATAACAAGAAGTCCGAGTAACTTGGGGCGCAAATAATCGACTAAACACACTCTTGTTCTACATTTGCTATACTGAGATAGCAATGACACGCCTAGCACTCAGTTAGTTTTGATTGCGAGCCTCAAGACGTACACCTAAGGTACCACAAATGCACATTTTAGAACTAACTCTGTCATTTTCTTGCAGCACATCAGCAAGCAAAAGCCTGACTACACATCCAAAGTGCCAATTCTTTGGGGAACTATGCTAAAGTCCAAGGAGCCATTTCCGAAGAAATCTTCGCCCGAATACAGATATATTAAAAATAGTAAGGATTGCAGATATAATATATGTATACACACTTGAGATAAGGGAGTAAATTGCTTTTCCACAGCCATGCACGCAATATGCTAACCGTACTGCACAAAGCAGTCAAGCACGATGAAAAAGATTCGCAAGCTTCTTTAACTCACTTTTCTTTGTGTTCACATTATTAGGATAATACAAATGAAATTTTAATCAAAAGTTGCCGAATACATTGGAATCCTAAGGTGGGAAAAAGACAACAAAAAGAAAGATGTACGAAATCCTAATTAAAAATGTGGATTGTGGGGTGAATAAATATAAGATTATGAGTTTGTTTGTAAATGTTTTTAAAATGATTGAAAACGTTTTGTGTGAGAATATTTTGGAATTAATTTTTAATAAAATGAAGTAAATTATGAAAAAGTACTTAAAGTGCTTCTTAAAATAAACACATAACTGATGTTTCTTGTAGAAAATACTTCAAATGCTTTTGAAATTCAAAATATTTTCTCAAAAAATATTTTAATCATTTTAAAAGTAATTTTAAACTACCTATTTATTTTAAAAAGATATATAAAATTACTTTAGCTTGTAAAAAAATTCATGAGACAAAATTGATGTAGATTGTAATGAAAAGTTTAAAGTTCAATATGCCCGCACTAATATAGTAATATTGACATATAAGCATAAATAAATCTCGAACCTTTTAATTTCTATTTTTTATTTGTTGAAAAAGCTCTTCTCTTTAAGATCCTAAAAGGTTAGAATATACCATGAAATTTAGGGTCTTTCCAACACCTTCCCAAATCTTGTTCTTTTTTTTTTTATTTGTGGAAAAATGGGGCTAAAAGCAAAAGCCCAAACAAAACTTATCAATAATAAACTTAGACCAGAACAGTTTAAGGCGACCATTATGAACAAAATTAACTGAACAATAAAGAGAATTATGAAAGTAAAAATTGCCTAAATCTAAATCAAAACTATAGTTCGCTAAACCATCCGTCAAAAAATTATTTTCTTTGTGGACATGCTGAAGATCGCGTTGCCCAAATGTTGTTCATTGTTCATCGTAAATATCGTAGAATTTGATAGTTCGAAATTTGTTTATGACATTAACATCTGGTATTAGACATAAATAAATGCCAATGGCTTCTCTATCCACTTCTATTTCATCAATATAATTGATACATAAAACTTAAAACTCATATTTTCCAATATACAACATAAAAAGTTATCCCTATTTTCCCAATATCCAACATAAAATATAAATAAAACTTCAATTTTATAAATAATTTAACGGCAATCAATGGAGGAGTTTGAGCTCCCACTTTAGGGGATGGGCAAAGTTGCACTTAACAAATAAAGAGTTGTATAGCTGCTGTGCATTTGTAAAGATCCTATAGAATTGTATAGCTGCCTGTGCATATATGTAGGTTTGCAGCTATCCCAATTTGTAATTTTGTAGCAATGGTGAGATGTACCACATTAGAGGCCTTTTTGTATTTGCAATGCATTCAGCATCACTGTTAATAACACACACTAATTGAAACTGATTTTGCTCTTCTGCAACATATTGCCATCTTACAATCTAACTTTTCTAATTTTCTGACAAAGGGATATCTAATACACTCTACTTTATATAAAGGGTGATTCAAACTAAGACGCAATGTGGTAGACACGTCATCCTAACTAGTTAGTAGACATGTCATCCTAACTAGTTACCTTTTAATCTAATTTTAGTTGAGTTGGCTAAAATAATGTGCTCTCTCTAATCCTTCATGTAGTTTTAGACATTAAATGAACATCGTATAGTTTATCCTATTAATGGTTTATAAAACAATAAAAATTATATTTTTGTTAATAAACAGTTTGAAAATTTTATTTAGTTGAAAATAACAGGTTGAAATTAGAAATTCAGTAATGAGTCTAATGACAAAAATTCAACCAAATATTGAAAATAATAGCCGTGTTTTGGACTATGATTCAGAAACACTTTACTTCTGATTAACAAAGCATACCGGAAGCTTTAATGCAGTGTAATTAGGGAAACAAATAACAGTTCCTGCCGAGCCTAATCTCATCAAGTTTCTCTTTTAGTTCTTCTTGTATGAGGTATCAAGTTATAAAAAGCACAAAGTTTACAGAAAAGAGTTGGAAGTGGAAGATGACCTCTCTATTTTTCGGTCAAATTAATGATAAGGATGATGCGTAGCAATCGTATATAAATATTAATTTCAATACCTTTTATGGCTTTTTAGCATGGCGTGTATATATATAAAATATACATACATGAAGATAAAATTAGTAAATATTGGATAGAGAGTAAATCACTTGAGATTAGGGAGTAAATAATTTTTCCATGCAGATATATTATATATACACACAGTTGAGATTAGGGAGTAATCACTTTTCCTCAGCCATGCTTGCAACTGGAATTAGATCCCCTCCTGAACAAATGATGGGGATCCTCATGACCACACAACACGGACCGTTGAATTTTGATTCAACGATTACAATTATTATAACTTTTAAAGGGACCCTCTGTTTGTAGTCGTTTGATCAAAATTCAACGGTACTTGTTGTGTGGTCACGAGGATCCCCACCATTTGACCGGAGGGGATCCAATTCCCAATTTGCAAACCGTACTGCGCAAAGCACAATGGAAAAGATTCGCAAGCTACTTTCAACTCACTTTTCTTTTCTTTGTGTTCACATTATTAGGATATAATATAATATAGATGAAATTTTAATCAAAAGTGGTGGAATAAATTGGAATCCCAAGGGGAAAAAAGACAACAAAAGAAAAGAAGTATAAAATCCTAGTTTAAAATGTGGAAAGTGGGGTAAATAAATATAAGATGATGATATTGTTTGGAAATGTTTTTAAAATGATTAAAAATGTTTTTTTATGTAAATATTTTTAGAACTAATTTTTAGTAAAATGCAAGTAAATCTTGAAAAAGTGCTTAAAAAAATACATAACTTATGTTTCTTGCAGAAAACATTCTAAATGTATTTGGAATCCAAAAATATTTTTTCTAAAAATACTTTTAGTTATTTTAAAAGTATTTTTAAACGACTAATGCTTAAAATATATATACACACACAAACATTACTTTAGCTTGTGAAAAATTCATTAGACAGGATAGATGTAGTTTGTAATCGTTTGAAAAGTTTAAAGTCCAATATCCCCCCACTAAGATTGACATATAAACATATTTAAATCTCGAACCTTTCAATTTCTGTCTTGTTTTTTTGTTGTTGAAAAAGGTCTTCTCTTAAGAATCCTAAAATTCTAAATTCCCCATGTGAATATGCCATGAACTTTAGGGTTTTTCCAACAACCTTCCCAGATGTTCATTTTTTTTTCTTTTTTTCTTTTTTTCTTTTTTTCTTTTTTTCTTTTTCTTTTTTTGAAAAATGGGGCTAGTAGCAAAAGCCCAAACAAAATTAATCAGTAATAAATTTAGATCGGGACATTTAAAGTCGATTTTCATGAACAAAACTAACTAAATAAGAAGGAGGATTATCAAAGTAAATATTGCTAAATCTCAATCAAGACTATAATTCGCTAAACTATCCGTCACAAAATTATTTTATTTGCAGACATGCCAAAAATCCACATTGCCCAAAATGTTCTTCATTTCATCGTAAATATGGTGGAATTTGATAGTTCTAAATTTGTTTATGAGATTAACATCTAGCATTCGACATAAATAAATGCCAACGGCATCTCTATCACTTATATTTCATTAATATAATTAATACATTAAACTCAAACTTCATATTTTCCATTATACTACATTAAAAATTATCCATATTTTCCCAATATCCAATACAAATAATAAATAAACTTCAATTTTACATAAGTACTCTATTAGCACAAAAAATATTCATAGGAAACCCGAACTCGACTACTCGAGAGTGGTATATCTATTTTTTTTTCACGCAACGATATATTTATATTAAATTGTTTCGAATTTATCATTTATGAGATTTCAATTTAAAACTTCTCACTTACAATTAAAAAGCAATACTAGTATATCGTAGTATAAGTGGCTACATCCATTTTCTTGTTAAATGACAAGAACATCATTTACTATCGATAAATTACCGCATAGAAAATAAGAAAAAAATATTTCTCACATAATGGTCTGACGTGTTACGTTAAAAACGGTTGATACTAATTTAAGTAAATTCAAACATAAATAACCAAATAAATCATCCATAACGATAATCAAATACTTTACCATATTAGAGAACGCGTTATACCAAAAATAATTCACTTTCTCAAATTGTAATTCCCACACATGGTATATCTATTTAATTTTTTTTATGCAACGATATATTTATATTAAATTGTTTCGAATTTGTCATTTACGAGATTTCAATTTAAAACTTCTCACTTACAATTAAAAAGCAATACTAGTACCGTAGTATAAGTGGCTACATCCATTTTCTTGTTAAGTGACAAGAACATCATTGACTATCGATAAATTATCGCATCTAAAATAAGAAAAAAAAATATTTCTCACATAATGGTCTGACATGTTATGTTAAAAACGGCCAATACTAATTTAAGTAAATTTATACATAAATAACCAAATAAATCGTCCAAAACGATAATCAAATACTATACCATATTAGAGAACGCGTTATACCGAAAAATAATCACTTTCTCAAATTGTAATTCCCACACATTGTAGAAGAAATCATGTATACTCTTTTCCTTAATAATAAAGTTTCACCACACTATCACTTCACAAATCTTTTGACAATGCCTATGTTCATCGAGTCCCCATCAGTCTCTTTCTCCTTTCTCAGGCCACCACATTCATTTTCTTTTTAACTTTATTAGTTTTTTTCGTACACAAAAACAATTAAATTGTTAAATACAAAAATAAATATATGAAAAATTAGGGTAAAGTTCCTTGCAACTTGCCAATTTCGTACCGTATTGAAACAAGCGGGACCGGCCTTCCCGGCGAGCGCACTCGCATACGTGTCCGTACCTCATTGGCTTGCATGCACAATCCGCCCGCAAAACCTTCGTCGCAACGCTTTGTAAATTCTCCCTTATACCCCTACTATTACTCAAAATCATTCTTCTACCTAAACGCGCTCTCTTCTAGCGCAAGCCGTTCCATACCGACAGTGGCAGTGTTGAAAATTTGAGGCATTAAAATACCCCTGTTAATTTTCTCGGACGCGGTGTGTACGTGGAATTTAAACGCGGGCTGGTAGACTTGGCAGATATATATAAACTGTGTGTGTCTCTCTCCTCCCTCGGTAGAGCCCCTCACAACCTTCTTCGTTGCTTTCTCTCTGCTGAAAGATAAAAAAAGCTAGAGAGAGAAAGGTCCACACCTGATTTCAGAACACCAAAATCTCCTTTTCGAATTCGAGAATCTATCCGATTCCTAGTGTTTTCTTCTGGGTTTCTTGGAAAAAGTTTTGGGTTCTTGAGAAAAGCTAGGCTTTTTTAGTTTTTCCTCACTCTCTCTGTCTCTCTGTTCCTCTGTTTCTCTGTTTCTCTCTCTGGAGTTGTGGTTTAGTGGTGCTGGCGGACATGGAGGTGCTGTCTATGAATAGTCTGCCGCTGGGGTTCAGATTCCGGCCCACGGATGCGGAGTTGATCGATTATTATTTGAGGTCGAAAATCAATGGCAATCACAGACAAGTCGCTGTTATCCGTGAGATTGATGTTTGCAAACGGGAGCCCTGGGATTTGCCTGGTATTAAACTTTGTCCTTCTCCGTCTCTTAGCTTTCACATTTTTCTGATAATTTTTTGTGGGGTTTGATTGCATGTAGTAGAAAATGGTTAAACTTTGCTTGTGATTAATTGCTTATATCAAGTGGCGGAGCCAGAAATTTACAAAAAATGTTCAAAAAATAGCTTTTTTAGAATCGATCATACTTTCATTTATACTTGTCCGCGACGTGGTCTTATATCATTTAGTGTGTTATTTAGTTGTTAAATTCACTATTTAGTTTCCATTGGGTTGTAATTAAGCTGGGATTTTGTTGGATTAATGAAACTTTGGGAAAGTTATGAACATTTGGTTGCAGCAAGTACTTGATTTTCTCACCAATTATCTAACTTGAAGGTCTTCAATTTTTGGGCTTTTCTTTGCCCAATGTTAAGCTTATTTATGCTGCAGATTTAGTAAATATGTCCTTTTATCTGTTGGGGGTTTTCACTGAATGTAGTAAAAATGCTTGCACTTGCTTATGCTTTTCGTAAAAGTAATCGATCAATGTCTTATTGAGTTGTAATTAGGCCGGGAATTTGATGAATTGTTGTAACTTGGGGAAAATTATGAACTTTTGGTAGCAACAACTTGATTTTCTCACCAATTACATATTTTTCGGGTTTTCAGTTTTGTATATTTGTGCTCAATGTTATGTTTATGCTGTGTTGCAGATTTATCAGTGATACAGACAACTGATCCGGAGTGGTTCTTCTTCTGTCCGCAGGACAGAAAGTACCCGAATGGGCACAGGTTGAACAGGGCTACAATTAGAGGGTATTGGAAGGCCACTGGAAAAGATCGTCAAATCAAGTCGGACAAAATCTTGATTGGAATGAAAAAGACATTGGTCTTCCATATCGGGCGTGCTCCTAAGGGTAAGAGGACTAATTGGGTTATGCACGAGTATCGTGCGACACAGAAGGAACTTGATGGCACAAATCCTGGCCAGGTTGGTTTTCTCTTCAACCTTAATGATGTTTAATTGATTTTTATGATCACATTTGGACACTGAAGTCTTGAAAATTGATAGTTTGTGCAATCAGTTTAAGTGTAATTTGTATAATTTAGTCAAAATCTATTACTTAGTTTGGTTTTAGTTTTAGTGAAATATCTTATGTTGTCTAAATATGATTCAAAGCGTCCAATTCGTGCTTTGGACAATAGACGGCAGGATCTGATAAACCGGTTTGAGCAAAACGGATGGTTTGGATGTTACATCATAACTGATGAAAAAAGATGTTCATTTCTTGGTAATTAGGAAGGGAATGAGTTATTAAGTAGTATTGAGCAAGTAACAAATCTCAATCTTCAACTGAGTCCCTTTGCATGGAAATAAGTTATGTTTTTCAATGGAATTGTTCTTTAATTGGTCTGCGTGTGCGTTTGTATATTGCATTTTTGTAGTTCTTCAAAACACGTATGCTCAGATCACTGACCGGGAATTTAAAATGACTGAACTTTCAATTACTAATCAGATGTTATGTACCTGTTGTATTATGCAGAGTTCCTTTGTCCTTTGTCGCCTGTTTAAAAAACAAGATGAGACCATCGAAGATTCAAATTTTGATGAAGCTGAACCTACTGCTTCATCCTCCATTGCTGTTGTATCGTCTCCTCAAGACGTGCAGTCTGATCTTGCACCGGTTCCAACATCACCATCATTTGAAAGGCAAGATGAAAAGCCTCTTACCAAAGTCGAATGCACCTCTGCTGATACTGGTAATGCGATGGGATCAGACACTTTACCACCTCTACCAACTACTAAGTTCCCTAGCAACAGCTGTGATGGTTATGATGCAGAATGTCAACTGAATATGCCACTGGGGGAGTTGGACATGTTTTATGATCCCCCGCAAGAGCCACTTTTTTCCCCATTGCACTCGCAGATGCACGCGGAGCTTGGTTACTACGGCAGGAATGACTTCAGCAATGATCATCAGGGGGTGACGTTTCCATATGGAACCAATGAGCAAGATGCATATGTATCCGATTTCTTGAGCTCAATTCTAAACAGTTCAGGGGAGCAGATTGATGTCGATGCAATAGCAGCTGAAGTACCGGTGAGTGGAAGATTTCATGTTACTTTTGAAGTATCTGCAGCATTTTGTGTCATGTACGTGCTTTTAAAAGATTGTCTCTAGAAAAATAATTTTTTGCTGATCTCATTTCATACAGTTTGTGAAAGAACTTCAAAATGATGTTCAGCCTGAGGAGAATATTGACAGAAATGATCCGTCACTGTTGATCTCAATTCCAGAAGATTATGGTAAGTCTTTTCTGGTATTAGCATTGATGAGTGGACGAGATTTGTGGATGGTGTGCTAGATGAATGTTAGTAACGTAATGCTTCTCCATTTGGTTTTGCTGCAGACCAATCCTCAAGGTCTGAGGTGACGAGCAATCATGTGAATGCAATTATCAATCGCGATGCTGGCACTGGAATCAGGCTCAGGGCTCGCCAAACACAAATTCCAACTAGTGCAGAGAACTTTGTGACACAAGGTGATGCGAAAAGAAGGATAAGGCTTGCGACTAAAGTTCGGCGAATCCAATGCAGCAGTAGACCAGAAGACAACGAACCAAAACCAATAGCTATGGAGGTGAGAAGTTTGTGAAGCACAAATAATGTCAAAGTCTGGTGAGTTTTGAGGGTTGGTAATGAGTTTAACGCTGTTTGCAGGAGATGAGCAATAACGAAAAGAAACCTATTGGTGCTGTTGATACTAATGTTATTAGTGCTGACATTGATCTGCCAGAAAAAGGAACCGTGCCCAAAAGACCCAACTTCACCACGGATGGCAGCATTATTACCGGCAAAAGGCTGCTTTCTGTGTTGTTGAAAGCCGTCTCTCCTGCCGGTCATTCTATGTGGTCCTTAGCCTTTCTGTTTATAGGAGTTGTGGTTGCATTCTTGTTCATAATCTTGCGAGCTCATGGGGATTTCATTAGTTTTGAAGCCGCCAGAAGACCTTTCGCTGCCTAGCGTACTGCCTAAGCCCTACATTTTAAGGGTTTGTTTAATTTTATGAGGCTAAACACAGGATAGATTTGTTAGGTTCAGAGTCCTCATGTGATTATGTACAGCAGCTAACAATTTTTGAGGGATTCCATAACTAAACTATGAACTTTTAGTTGAGCTGCACTTATTTATCCGAAATTGTTCTGTATTTCTGTTTAAACTTATACCCTTCATACAATTAACACGTAATTCACCGGAAAAACTAACATACAAGAGAATGTTACTGCGACGTATACTACCATGCACAATCATAATCCATGAGAAAACTAACCTACAACGGAATGTTACCATGCATAGTCATTCTCTTTAACGTCACGCCAATCACGAGGGGTGGTACATTTTAACTTCCTCGCGTGACCGTTTCTATTTGTTTGGGATACTGCCACGATTGTGTTGCTACAGTCTTCTCCCCAATTCCGGTCAGACAAACAGAGACGGAGATGGGTTCTTGGTCGACTGCCAATTTTCTCCTCGTTTTACTACTCTTACCATCAAACCCACTACCCAAAAGAGCTTCTGAGCGCAGCCCAGCGAGATAAAAACTGGTTAATATCCGTAAGAAGGCAAATCCATGAAAACCCAGAACTCAAATACCCGATTGCCCAGACATTCTGTACACGTTGAAATTTGAGAGCGATTGGAGAAACCTTGATGGTTGCATACTGCTAGCTTTGTTATGGTGAAATTTCAGAAGTTGCTTTTGTGTAATGATACGGTTGTTTATGAATAGCATAAAAGAAGTAGCTTTTGTGAAATATGAATCTGCAAAATCCTAAACCCAATCTTTGAGCTCATGTAAACTCCCAAAGTATACCCAAAAAACAGTTACCATGGAAGGATCCATGATTATAAGTTTTTGTGGTCAGAGGATCCATGATTATATGTTTGTATTTTGAATCACGGTGGTGTTTGGTTTAATCAAGTTTGTCGACTTTTAGGTCTTTTGTGGTCAGAGATTTTTCGAGCCGTTTTCCGGCCAAACTAAGGCGAGTTAGCTGTCAAAAAAGATACAATTCTCTTCATCTCGTCGAGAAGTATGATTTTCGTTTTTGAATCACTTGATTTCGTTGAGTATTGAAGAAGTTATAAACGTTTAAAGTTTACCCAGTTTCCGGTGAGTTTTCTAAGTTTTCCCTCGGACCACTCAACTTTGAGACTATTTTTCGGCCATCTCCGGCAACCATTGGGTTTCTGAATAGGTATAATCTTATTCTACACTTTCCTATTTTCATTTTCATATATTATGGGTCAAATTTGGTTAAGAAACAATTGAGTTACGAAACTTTGAAAATTGCCTAAACTTCCAGCCAAGAGCTCGAAGACACTTAACAGAGTTTTTAACGGAATGACCAAAATGATGGATGGTGGACAATCTCAAGGACCACTTTTATTGATTTGAAATCTCAGGGACCAAAGTGATGAGTTATGCAAATCTCAGGGACTATTTTGGCTATTTAGCCTAACATAAATTATGAAATCCCCCTAAATCCACCAAAATTCATATCATTTTAATATCATTGAAATCAAATCCTGATTTATTACACCTACACTTCAATAGATTTATTTAAAATATTAAACAAATTCTCCTAATTTTTATTGACTTCTTTAAAATTCTAATCGAATATAATCACCTAATATTTTAAACTTTTCAAAATCCTTCAAAATCTCTATTAAAGACACAACTATGTTTATGTGATCATTAGATCAGGTGAACTTAGTACTAGAAACAACTTAATCCAAAAATAATTGGGTGGTTGATTGTGATTACTTTACTAACTAAGCCAATCAATCATCTAGATTCTTCTAACCTCCCATCGATCACAACGATTGCATGCATTGGACCGCACCTAGGCCCTTTGATTAATTGGAATATCTTAATTGATGCATAAACCTTTAGAAAGAACAAATCATTCTACACCACGTAACCTACATCTTCCAACTTTTTTTTATTAAAAAGAATGATGTTAGAGAGGTCATATACTTGAATCATATTTTGTAAATTACATAATCAATATGACGATTGATGGTTGAACTCATTTGAATCATTACAAAAAAAATTCAATTATCAACCATCACATCATGAAATTTACACAATATAATCTAAAAATACAATCTTCCAGCCGTTTTCCTATAAAAATGGACAAAAGATAATCAAGGAGGTCAACCTAAATTGTATTTGGTCTGTTCTTTTTTGCTGATCAAACTTTAATTAAGGAGCTGCATGAGGACGTAGATTAAAAAGATTATGTTGTTCGTTGGTGAAATTTATTTGTCTTGGAAAATTTTGAGTGGTTGTGAAATCTTTCACCGAACTTTTTGACTTGGAAGGGGACTTCTGTTGCTGTTGCTGACTCACTCCCAAGTGTGACCACCATGGGAGAAGTAGATTTATAAACTCACTCATATCAACTCTTTCATTATCACCGCCATTTGACAAGTTGCATGGTGAATGTGGTGGAGTCAGGATTTTAATTTAGGAAGGGCTTAAAAGTCTAAATCTTAAATACTCTCTTGATTTTACAAATATTACTCTGTCATGTGTGAAAAATTGACTACTGTCCTTTTAGTATGATATAGTGATGTCCTCATCGTCATCTTCCTTAAACCTAAACCCAAAGTCTCTCTAACTTTTTTTCCTCTTTCCCTCCACTGATCCCTAGACTAGAGTCCTCCTCAAAACTCACAAACAATGGATTGCCACCAACCTCATATCAAACCCGATGAAAGAAATTAAAGTAAAACGTTGGTTTGGGGCCTTGAGCCTACAAAAAAGCCTTGAAAATCATAAGCATAACATTAAACTTTTGTGCGTGAATAAAATGTCAGAATCAATGGACCTCGGATCATCATGGTCCCTCATAGCTCCACCTTGGTGAAATAAGAGTAATTTTGTTTTCAGGCTTCCACGTTATATTACATGTTCACTCATGTCAAACAATCTATATTTCAATACTATACTCTCCACCTATAATATACCAAAACTATAATTTGTCAATTAATAACACCATATGATGATATAAGCGTCACACTCAAAAGTTTATCGTGAAATAATTAACCATACCCATCACTCTCTTAGTGCAGGGAAGTGAGAACTAATTGAATATTCAGCAAGAGAAAGAAAGAAATAAGCTTTTTGAATGACTTGAAGAAACATCAAAAGAAATAAAAATTGACAAAGATGAAGGGGAGGACTTAAGCTTTGTGATATGGAGGAAGCAACCCATGTGAGATATCAACTGTACTATAGCTGGATCGTATAATTTTTGTTTTGAAATACACGAAAACTTGGAATGCAAAATTTTGCATCCCCACGCTTCATCCATCCCAACTCAGTTTTGCATGATTCATGAAAATTGGAATTCTCTTTGCTTAATTTGGAGTTTTCTTCTGGTATTGAAAGTACGTACTAAATGTTTGTGAAGAGTTTATACACTTTGATTAATTTCAATCAACGTTTCCTTTATCATGTAACTATATTCTATTGGAAAATATTAGTATTTTGATTTATTTGAATAATTGGTTTTGTGAGCTTAGCCCGTTAGAATTAGGTTTTGTTATAGATTAAGGTTAGTTTATTATAAATATGGTGCTTTGTTATTCATTAGAGAATAAGTTAGCCACAATGTAGTCTCGTAGGATTTTGTAGCCGTTTCGGCATTCTTGTTTGTTTAATAATATTCTTATAATTTTGTTCGTTGCGTACTCTGATATTCAACTTTTTTTTTTTACTCACTTTTTCTTCCCTACAGTTAATGGCTAAACTAATTAGGACCACCAAGAAAGTAGGTCATCATGGTCTAAAAACAGTAATAAAACATGCAGAACAGCATATAAATTTGATAACCCCAAGGCATAATCATCGAGTATTATTTGAGGTTTGGAGGTTGTCTCAAATCAGAAAGTTAAGCGATTTTGTATGTCCAGAGCATATGCTTAAGTGTCGTCATACGTGAGGGGGCTTGTGAAGATGTAGAGCGATGTCTCTCATCAAATAAATCTTGCATATTCTTATTGGGAATTGAGCCATTCGCTTTTGCTAATTGGTTATTTGGTTTTATAGTAGGAATCACAACTTGCTTTAGATTATCAATAAAATAGTACATAGATGGACGATCAAGTGGTAACGATGGACGGTTTATCATGCTCCACCTGCTTAACTACAACTAAAATACTCCAAGGATATTATGCCATGCCATGCATTATAATTTTTTCAACATAGCGCTGCGTAATTAGTTTGTGACAAAAAAACTCTCCTTGTGAGAAGTTTTCTCCGTTCTTTGAATAAGTTGCTTAAGGACCAAGGTATCTAGGTTGTCCACACAAGAATAAGATGGCTACACATGGTGACACCTCACCACCTCGTCATGAAAAATCCACCAGTCGGTGGTGATGGAATTATTAATTATAATTTTTATTTTTCAGTTGGTTAATTATCTTGTTGTCATCTTTTTCTTTCCCTCTCCTCTGGCTCTATCTATTCACCCCCCCTGCTGCTCTATAAATCTGCCAAATCTGCTCCACCGGTATCTCCTCTCTCTTTTTCTACCTCATCAGCCTTGGGGATTGCAAAAAAAAATTCAAAAAGAAACATTATTAAGAGCTTCTTTTTGTATAATTTAGTGGCTCTGCATGTGCTCTAGAATAACACACTGACTTTTTATCTAATAAACCAACTGCAACCGTCCATCCATTATACTCTCTCATCACTCGTCTCTCACTCCTCTCACCTGCATATATAAATTAACACCACCTTCTTTTCTAGCCCTCTCCCCTTTTTTATTTCTATCTTCTGCTCTTAATTTTTCTGTCTAATTTTGGAGAACTCAAAGTTCATATTCATAATTGACTGAGATAACAAATGGGTGAAGAGGCTAAGCAGGTTAGTGTACTGCACTAATGTTTTCTAATTGGCTTGTTTGGGTCTGCATGCATTTGTTGTGTTAATACTGTCTGGCTTCTTTCGTGAAAGGAGTCATTCCTCATTTCTACAAATATAATTGATATAAGTTGAAATACGTCATCAAACACACAAAGCGAAACATTTTTGCACGCATGTTAAACTGTAAAATGTAATTTTTGTTGGATAGGAGCAAGCTAAGGCAGAGGCTAAGGCAGAGGAGAAAGCCGAGGTGAAAGTAGAGGAAAAGAAAGACGAGAAGGCAGAGGAGGAAAAGAAGGAAGAGCCAAAACCTCCTTCTCCTTTTGTGTTGTTTGTAGACTTGCATTGTGTGGGATGTGCAAAGAAGATTGAGAGGTCCATCATGAGAATTAGAGGTATTCTCCCCCCCACCCCTCTCTCTCTCTCACGACAAAGAGGGCACTCTAACACTACCCTACACCTATTACGCTCTATTACATCGATGTTGCATGGACGTTCTTTATGTTTATAATTGGTGTGCATTTTTGTTTTTGAAATGCAGGAGTGGAGGGGGTTGTGATAGACATGGCAAAAAATGAAGTGACCATAAAGGGAATAGTGGAGCCTCAGGCAGTTTGCAACAAAATCATGAAGAAAACCAAGAGAATAGCAAAAGTCTTGTCCCCATTACCAGCTGCTGAGGGTGAAGCTATTCCAGAAGTTGTTGCTTCACAGGTGGTCCAACCAAAACCCTTAATCAAAATTAATCAATAAATCACATTAAAGCGTAAATTTGTTTAAACACTTGACTAATAAGTAGTGGTTCTTATTGCAGGTTAGTGGACTAGTAACTGTGGAACTCGAAGTTAACATGCACTGTGAGCCCTGCGCAGAGCAACTCAAGAGAAAGATTCTCAAACTCAGAGGTATATATCCATTTTTTTCTTTATGATTTTTTGAGATAAAAGAAACTCTTTGTCCACAACTTCTTGTCTGTTAAACTACTTGATAAATTAATTGCAGGAGTTCAAAGTGCTGTAACTGATCATAGTAGCGGGAAGGTGATGGTGACAGGGACCATGGACGGGGACAAGCTAGTAGAATATGTGTATAGACGAACCAAGAAGCAAGCCCGAATAGTCCCACAACCCGAGCCCGAACCCGAGAAGAAGGAGGAACCAGCTGAAGAAGAAGCAAAACCCGAAGAAAAGAAAGAAGAAAATGCAGAGAAAAAAGAAGAGGAAAAACCGGCAGAAGGGGAGGCAAAGAAAGAAGAGGGCGGAGCTGAAGGCGGAGAAAGTAGTAATAAGGAGGGGGAGAAAGGTGGTGAGGAGAACAAAGAAGAGGAGAAGGTGGAAGTGACGATGAGTGGCAGTTACGTAAATAGTGGAATGGATGAGGAACATATGAAAAGAATGATGCAGTACTATTACCAACCTCTTTACGTTATTGAGAGAATCCCACCTCCTCAGCTGTTCAGTGATGAGAATCCCAATGCATGTTGCATTTCATGACCAACTTGATCATGGTCAATAATCCTTCTATATTCCATAATAACAGTGTATTAAAATGTTGTTATGTTGCCTAATTAATTACGTAATATAAAAGTTGTTTTACATATGGTAATTAGCAACCACCACCACTCGTGACCAGAATTTTAGACAAGTTTTGAGTTTGGTGGATGGTGGTTGGTGTCAAAAGTAATATTAATATATATGTTTCATCCAAATTGATCCATAAAATATATATAAGCTAATCATTCTGTATCATATACAAGATTAATACATTGTTCCATATTATATTGTGTAAGACATTGTCCCTTGCTAATATATATGGATTCTAAAGGATATTGGAACAACCAAAGCAATGAACAAGAATTATATAAGGGTATGTTTCGATGAGGGTTTTACAAGACTCAAGGGATTGGTGTCGAGCTATGAAGAAATGAACCGTAAAATATAACATGGATGGGATTAGCGAAACCCTCTATGACAAAGACATGTGGGTTTGCAAAGTCCTACTTGAGAGGGGTCATCTAGCTAAACCCTACTACATAATTTTGTAATGCTGATGAAATGTTTTTCTAATTCCCTCAATATTATATTTTATGGTCCATCAAAACCCTACCACTCTCATCATAACTGAGACATGTACATTTCCAGGAATGCATTTATTATTCACATGGATAATTAGTTTTTTTCTTCTTAAGAACAACTAATAATAAATCATGATTATTCCTCATTTTTTAATTCCAAAAGCTATGAAATTTTTTACTCCCATATGGATAATTAGTTAAAAGGATACAAATTTGATTGGGGCAGTCGAGGTTCCTAAGATAAAAATAGAGGTGTGGGTTTCACATGGTGGGCTCCAACTGTTGTATATGAAATCCGAGTCATCTGAATATAAGCCAAAACATGGAGAAATTTTTAGGTGTTCCCGTCATCCCACATCATCATGGACACTTGGTATACCCATCCAATCAGGGGATTCCACGTTTTCCATTAAAGAATATTTCTGATTTATTTTTTAAGAAAATCAATTAAACAAACACTTTAATGGGAAGCATGGCATCCCCTGATTGGATGGGTACACCAAGTGTAATGGTGATGTGGGATGACGGGAACATCTAAAAATTTCTCCAAAACATGGTCACCAGGGCATCACATCAAAAGAGGAGTCATGAGTGGGACCTACAATCAAAGACTAACGTGGCAGAGATGGTGATGCCATCGCACCTGTCTATTTGTCGTTTTGTCGCATTCACCGAACAAAGCACGCACCCGCCATGGCCAATGCATGTCATTTGCTTCGCAAAAGTGGAAGACAATGTGAGGTCGATCGGGGGTAACCAAAAGGCCAAAAAGGAGAAGAAATGTTTGGAACTCAAGGTAGTCATTCTCCTCTCTGTGAGAAATATTATACTCGACTAATAATATGACTTATTTAGGGGTGTGATATTTACATTTTTTTTTACTTCTCACATATTTTTTAAATTTTTGGCTGTTGGATCGAATGAATTGAAGAAAATCAACAGACAAAAATTAACAAATGGTGTGTGAAAAGTAAAAAGGAATGTGTGGATAGCACACCCCCTTATTTAATATCTAGTTCTGTAAGAACATAGAGAACTTTAATAACATCCGTGTTCAATTTATGTAGCAGGGAATTCAATTGCAATGCAAAATATAACAATCCCAAACAAATTAGGATTTGCAATTTTCTTCCTATAAGATTTTTCTATGCATATTTGGATCAATATAGCCCATCTAAATTACATAGACACGGAGAAGCCAAACTTGTTATATAATAAAGCACGTTAAGAAAACAATAGTTAAAAAACATAGGTGTTAGAAGTCAGAAGCTAAAGCTTGAAAGGTGATTAAAGCACCACGAAGATTAAAACTTTAAAACTTTAAAAGCTACTTTTTTTAACTCGAAATAAGGCATACATTATCTTAACTTCTTGATTATTCTCAACGCAATTAAACAAAGTAGAAAATCACTTTTATTGTGGGACTAACCTATCTAGTCTAGTATATGCATGGTCCATCCCCTGTTTTTGAATATTGGTACCTTCTAGAATTATAGAAATTTGAGGGATATTTCTAGAGGATTTAAATTAGAGAATCGTTTATAGTTCGGTGAGAGTGGTAATTAAGATGATGGATAGAAGTAGGGGATTCAGCTTTCGAAACTTTTAATTTGTAACAAAAATGAATTAGAATATCATTTATTGTTTTAAATAATTTTATTTAGCATGAACATCAATTTTCAAGTTAGGGTTCATCTGTTTTGGTACGATCAAGAAATTAAAAAAGAACTTGCATGCATGTGCATGGCGGCATAACCAATGAGAGCGCAAAAGGATGAGATGATGCCGAGAGTACGTAATGCGCGCGCACATATGTATATAAAATAAATCGAGAGGAATTACATGATCGAGAGCTATATTATTAAAGTTAATTCGGATTAAGTTAGTTAAAGTAGTATTGTTGTAAGTTCCAAAGTCTGAAAGCCAAACTTAGTTGATAAGGAAAGCCACATGGGAGTCGTAATCTGATGAAACTATATATATACAACTGATCGACCAGCAGATATGCATGCATGAAGGGGAGAATACATATATACACTACACTTTTTGTATGTCCAACAGTGTAAAGCCATGTAAAGCCAGCGCTGCTGACACATCCTTCCACTCATCTCACACTTATAATCCACATCCTTCCAATATCCAAATCAAGATTTCTCCAATCAAAGTATCTTTAATCAACTTTAACCAGGAATAATTATTGCGAAAATAATCTTTATATTATCAAATGAACCGGTCAATCGGCAGCCGTGCATGGTAAAGCTTAAACAGAAACATGATTAAGAAAACACGGTACTCTATCAGCTTAGCTATACCTTTTCCTTTTTAAGGATATCTTGGAATACTTAGCTGAGTCGACCTTCTACAGTGTCTAGTAACTTAACCCTATATAAAGCCTTGCAAATGTGATACATAGATTAATGGAGATAAGGCAAACATCTCAAATAACCAAGTAAGAACAACAGCAATCTCTGATTCTCTTGCATGCATTCGTATACATATCTTGAATCTTATATAGTTAAATTTGGGTTTGGATTTGAATATGGCCGATATGCAAATCGTTCCCGCCTGCAAAAACGTAGAGGCGCAGTATGTGGAGATGATGGTTCCTCTCTATTCTCATGGATGTGAGAAGAAAATAGAGAAGACCCTCTCCCATCTCAAAGGTAAACTACATATCTCTATATGTATATTAGGATATATTACTAAGCGCCATCATTATCGATATTTTTTCTTATGTATTTTTAGTTGAAAATCATAGCACAAATAAACCTAAAATATTAATATTTTCTAACATTTTCTTCAACCGAACAATGTCCGCCCTCTAGGTCATGAGTGAGACATTATATATAGCAGCAGTCGTTTCCTTCGTTTCTAGGTCATGATGTTTGTTTAGTTTGACTAGGCCTGATATCCTTGGCCCTTCACAAAATTGCAGCCTGCAATTAGACAACTCGTTAATTTTACTGGCCGGGTTAGTCCAGTAGGGGAATTAAGCAGCAATAAAATGTGAACTAAACCCTAATTAATTAATGTTGTCTTGTAACATTATTTATATGTACTTGCAGGGATATACTCAGTGAAGGTGGATTATAACGAACAAAAGGTGACGGTATGGGGAATATGCAACAAATACGATGTGCTTGCAACTGTAAGGAGCAAGAGAAAACATGCATGTTTTTGGAACTCTGAAGACAACATTGCCTTAGAAGATCAATCACCAGAACCACTGTCAGTGACAACACCACCACCTTCCTCTCCTCCTCCTCCCATTACTACTCTTTCAAGTTTTAAATACACAAAGCCTTCTTTGGCTCTGATTAGGGTTCGATCTTTGAGTTGGAAAGCATGGACTCCATGGAAAAAAGTCTTTAATTGGTCCTATTCATTACCCTCAAGGCTGAAGCTCAACGTGAATTGATTATATGTAACGATCGATAAGAAAATGTGAAAGAAGAGATTGCTTGCTGCTTTCCTCTTGTTGCAATTTGGATTCGATAACTAATGAGTACTTTAATTGAGTGCAAATTTAATCATCTGTCGATAGAAGTTGATATTGTTTAGTTAATGTTAAAACTTAGCTCTGCCTACTTGAGAGATAATGTTAAAAAAATACATATACTCGCGACATGCAATTTTTTTAATATAATATATTATGACTCATGTAATAGTTCACAATAAGAAAACCGAGTGAGACATATATGTAAAAATTTCACCGTAGTAGTTTGTAAACATGATGTTCTCCATGGTCGACATCCCTTCACTTTCGTAATCAAAAGAAAATGGGTACTGGACCACTGGTCTTATCTATCCCCTCTTTACTCTTTATATATATTCAAAATTATTTGGCAGGATTTGACAAATTTCTTCCTTGTTAACTCTTTGGTAGGGGTCAGCATGATGATCATGTGCCCATATACTGTTACCAATTTAAGGCAATTCAAAATTGTAATTCTAACTAACTATATAACATGACATATAAATGCATAAAAATCACAAATGTTAAGTCAGATACATGTGGAAAAGAGAATTAGATTTCATTCAGATTCAAATTTTTGAGATTTTAGAAATTTTTACATTTTAACTATTTATTATGTATTATGTAGTAAAAAATTATTTAATTTTTTTATTTAAAATTAAACATAAATAATACTTGACGAAAATTAATTACAAAATATACGATAAATGATTAGAGTAGAAATCTCTAAAATTCTCGATCCGGGATGATCCTCTTCCGTGGGAAAGCAACATAAAGCAGACCACATGGCATTTTTCCCTGCTGATTTGACGCGAATTGTCCTATGGCTAGTACACGAAGACCTTTCTAACTTTTAAGCCACTTCACGCCCATCCTTCCAAAACCCTCCACTGGGTTCTTGCCACATCAGCCAACAAAATGCGTTGAGGTGATAACAGTACAAGCAAAAGTCTTATAACCAGGCGAACAAAGCGTGATGAATACCACTTTAATCATTACATTTTACGCGTAAGCTGGCCAGATATTTGATTACAGTGTGCGTAAATTGGGTGAAAAAGTCTCTCCATATGGTAATTTTCGTCCATAATCCACGTTATGCCTAACTTGATACGAAAAATCCAGAAAGTTAAAAAAATCCAACCAGAAATAGAATGTAATCTGTATGGATTTATTGCATTTTTTGCCGTCACCCTGATATCCATTATCTTTAAAATCAAATCTGGCCATATAAAGTCCGCCCGTTACAACAACTAAAAGGTATATATAAGTCACCAACAATCCACGACTTTGAAACAGAGAATTGAAGACCGTAATTTCTTACATAGCTACCTACCAATCAACCTCTCTCTCTCTCTCTCTCTCTCTCTCTCTCTCTCTCTCTCAGAGTCGCGCTCTCGCTCTCTTAAACGGAGGCTCTACAATTTGTGTGGGGTGAGAAAATTAATTATAAAAGAAGGGATGATAAGGGTAGGCATTGTTGCAGAGCTGCTAGGGTTATACGCGGCAGCGCTTGCGAGGATGACGGAGCAGCTCGTACCGGCAAGGCAGCGCAGTGCCAGTTTTCATGGTCTCGTGAATAATCTTCGTCTAGCTTCGCGGCCGGCCTCCACTCACGACGCTGCTTCTTCCTTCTATCTATATTTTTAAGCTAGTGTACGTCACTGATGGATACACACTCAAGACTCATGAGATGGATTGGGCGGCTTTCTTTCTATAATTGGTTGCTTAATTTGCAAGTCTTTCATTGATATTTTTTATTTGGTTACTTACTTTATCTCTGTATTCATTTCTTGATGCTGCAGTATACTTCCATGAAAACGGTGTATATGAAATCTTTGTTTTCTGCAGTAATCTTTATTGGTTTAATTTATCTCATTATTAGTCATACATGCATATGTAAGCTTGGATCATATATTATACAAATTTATACTGCAGGCAGCAGGTTTTTGTTAATTAATTAGTCTCTTTTTCATTTTTTTAGTACAAAATAATGCTGCGGTTTCGCGAAACTTCAAAAATATTGTTTAACTAATTACCTAATTTAAGAAAAGGGGTTATTAGTATTCTATTGATTGCAGATCAAGCCTCAAGCTGAGTCAATGGAGTATAGCCCGTTATCAGTAAATTTAAAAAACCTGAAAAATGCTTTGAGACAAATATTGGTTCAATTATAATAAAATTGGTAAACAAATAAACTAATGCAATAAAACAATTTGATCAAATTATTCTTTAGCAATTATTAGGTATAGTTGCTTCAATATCTTAAATGACATATAACCCTATAATATAAAGAAAATAAATAAATAAAACCAGAATGATGGGATGGAACAAAAGTGACGAATTTTATTGCTGCTTGCTTGGTCAATCTAACATTTTCAAGTCTGAGTCCTGAAAAATAGAGGTATTTTGATATGGGTCCAAAGTAACTAAAAATTGGACATATTTCAAAAATCAAATGTCACTAAAAATTGGACATATTTCAAAAGTAGGCCTATAAAATTAGACTTATTTCAAATTTTCCTTAAAAAAAATAATAGAGGAAGCTGTCGGTGTGGACATTTAATCTAGAAAACTTTATTTTAATCTTGGCAAAATGACTTTTAGATTAAAATCATGAGTAAGATCAAAATCTAATTTTAGTCTATTGATACATTAATAACCTCATTTATTAATTATATTTTGATTTTTAATTATTTCTCTTTTTTTCCTAATTTTTAATGTATTAATTTTATTTCATTATAATTTTCATTTTCATTTCATTTATCGTAATATATTTTGTTGTAAACATTTAGATAAACTAATTTTTGTTATACAATATATTTCGATTTACTTTGTCTTCTTCATTTAGGTATATTAAATTCATTATAATACATTTCGGTGCATACATTTTGGTATGTTGATGCACAAAACCGGAGGAGTCTTGGAACAACGTAAATCCGACCGTGAATCTGCAAGAAAGTAAATAACACAAGATGTATCGTGGTTCACTCCAATGTTTGGGCTACGTCCACGCTGATTGTATTTCTCTGACTATATGTATGGATTACAAAGGTGAGGGGGAGTCCCCCAGAGAAAGAGAGTGTTGTTGTGTTTGTGAGGGTATTGCCCTATGTTGGGTTCCCAAAGTCCGATTTGTGATAGGGGAGGAGTCCCCTTTTATAGAATATGGGGCTTCTCCTTTTACATCATCATATGGGCTGGGTAATAAGGCTCAACGTATAAAATTCTGAGGGCCAATATGTGTGGTACCAACAGTAGTCCCCCAAGTCTTCAGTCAAAAGAGTCTTTTGGTTGGAGACTTTAGATCCAATCCATGTACGGGCCGAAGTGGCTAGATGTCTTGAACTAGTACTCAACCCAAGGCACTGCTCAACATAAAGCAATACTCGGCTAGAGGTATCACACGTTACGAGACTGCTCGGCTAGAGGCGATGCTCGTTGCGAGACTGCTCGGCTAGAGGTTATGCTCACGGCGAGGCGTTTGCTCGGCTGGAGGCTATGCTAATTGTGAGACGGCTCGGCTCGTGGTATTCCTCATTGCAAGTATCTACTTTATGTCGACATGCACTCGGTATGAGTTGATTCTCGACATGACTCGAGTCCGCTTGTCGAGTTCGCATATTGGGTCTATGTGTCGGATCCGCGGATTGGGTCCGTAAGTCAGGTCTTTGAGTCGGGGCCATACGTAGGGTCATCGAGTTGGAGCTATCTGTAGGGTCATCGAGTTGGGTTCGGGCACATAGGTGTCCCAATAAGCGAATGTCCGAGCAAGTGGGTGTCCGGTCAGGCAAGAGATTACCATGAGCACGTGGCTCATCAGTCTATAAGTTGGTAGACTTATTTAATCAGCAACAATGTTGATCAATGGATCTAGTTACTCAATAATTCTTGACAATAAATGATAGTATAAGTATGACCGTATAATGAATAAATCAAATTGACAAAGTTTGTCAAGGCAAAAATATTGTATGGTGTGCCTTATGTGAATAAATGGTTTATTCTGTTGTGTGATAAATGACATGTTGCATAAATCAACAATATATTAGGTATTGCCTAAATGTGTGTGTGTGCGTGTGTGTGTGTGTGTGTAATCATGAATAAATGATTTATTCAGTTGTTTGATAAATCACATGTTGTATAAATCAATAACGTGGTAGTAATCATGTGATATCAAAAATAATAATTATATTATTTAATCATAAGTTATCATGACATAAAATTATTTTTATATAATTAATCATCATGACATAAATAAAATAATAAGATATTAAATAAACAATACATATCTTCGTATATCTCAGAATAATGAAACCATTCAAAGTAACAAGGAGGATCTTGGATCCACTCGTCTGATTAATTATCACAATTAATAAACAAAAGAACGTATTAAATTGTTAATCATGTGGTAGGCAGCTTTGCAAGCAACACCTTAGTCATGAAAGGCTGCTACTGGTAGGGGTCCCCTAATACAACTTGTGCAAGCCAACCATAAATCCATTCTCTCTCTCTCACTCGGTTCTAGCAAATGTCACGTGAAATTTACTGACTTTTGTAATGTTCCTTTTTTTTATTGTGTTAAAATAATAAAATTTACCTTTTTAGACAGAGTGGGCATCATTTATAGAATAATTGAAGCAGACAAAAGAAAAGTAAAGTTGGCACCATTTATAGAATAATTAAGAAATAACACAAAGAAATATAAAGTTTTTGATAACCACTTATCTTCTTCGTGGGTGTGGTTTGGAATCATGTCGAAATTCTCAATGCTTTACATTGCGGCATGACAAGTTTTCTTCTTGTAGGAGAAGAACCATTTCTCAATGTTGTTACGCTCGTAGGTTACACCAGTGGAGATGGTGACGTGATCTTTCATGAGCTCCATAGAAATGGGACATTTGAAATGGTACGGAGGAAAGTCGTCCATGGCTGTCTTAGACGCCGAAGAAATGAACGGGTGAGATCTCGGTGGAGGATCTGGAACCAGGCGCCGTACAGCTGCCCGCGTGATTGCACGTGCGAGACATGAAACTCGCTGGATCATTGGCCTCAATCTCTTTACCAAACTTGGAACCAGTAGTGCTGGAATCTCGCTAGAGCGACTA